ATCCGCCCTTCCGACATGTGCTTCAGCGCCTGAATCACAGCCCGAATTTCCCTAGCTCCAGACGACTGCCACGCGTAAGGTACTGGCCCCGATGCAACAGCCACCGTATCGCCAGCTTCCTTGGTCATCACGAAGGCCCAGCCTGCACGAGCTCGGACCTCACAGTGAGGATGATACAGTTGCAATCATGACACACCACTTCACTGACAAGGCCGCTGACTGTGCACACGTGTCAGTTGAGGATGTCCTCAGTGGCCGGCAGGGGCGAGTCGAATGTGGGATCTGGCATCAGCCTTTTGCAACTGATCGTGGTGATGGGATGGTCTTGCCCCTGCTTCCGTCGGCCCCATCGCAGCAACCTGCGCTATTCTGCCGTCCGGCTATGCCTTGCCACGGCATGCCAGTCGCACTTGAAGGTCCAATGTGAGTCCGTACCATCTTCAACTTCACAGATCGCGCAAGTGGGGTTCTCCACTACTCTTGCTTGGTAAGCCGAGCCTGACATAATCACCCACCTGGTAGCCAAGTCCTGAACAATTCAGCTCCTCGAAAGTCATCTTGACGACGCAGGGCACAGATCAGATCCTTGGCAGGCTGCAGTAGTGGTGGGCCCGTGAGGCCCTCCATGCCACGACTGTTGGGCAACTCCATCACGAGACGTCTTTGGGTAGCTTAATTGATTATCTACTTGATCGTAGCCAATACTGACCCATGTAAGTCCAGCGTCGCCCCACGTTCAGTCGCCCAGCGATCCCAAGGTATGGCAGACCATCTCAGCCTCTGCAAGGTCATGATGGCCGCCCCTGTGGGCCCTTGGACCCCACGCCAGGACTGGATCTTGTTCTGCCCGCGCGTGAAAGCCAACGCCATCGCGTTGTGCCGTGCCCATCTCCCCTGCAGAGCCCTCAGCCTGGCTGTGGGCTCTTCAGGGGAGCCAGTAAACCATTTGGTGAGTGCCACTTGGTTTACTGGCTGCGGGTGAGTGCCATTTGGTTTACTGGCTGAGTCAGCCAGTAAACCAAATGGCACTCACCCGCGACGAAGGCTCTTGGGAAGCGTGAGAGTTGGAACCCCATGGTTCTGCATCTCCCTCTGGCCGTGCCAAAGAGTGCGTGCCCTGCAATGGCCCTGACCTTCTTGAGCTGCGTGTCCGTCGTGCCTGGCTCTTCGCATGACCGTGCGGCCGCTGGGATGATCGTCCTCAGCACTTGCTCGTGAGAGCTAGTCGCTTGTAGACTGCCGTCGTCGACAACCTGCGCGTTGCTGAGCGACGGCCGAATCGCATACACTTGCCCATCAGTTCCTAGGGCGAACGGCATCACCATCGCAGTGGCGAAAGAACTCCCAGCAATGGCACCGCTGTTCGTCATAACAAAGCCAGACACCATGTTATCATATCGGACCTCTCTTCTGTCAGCATATGATTTGAAAAGCAACGCCAGCCTTGGTCACTTCAAACCATGCCTGCACCCCACTTCCTACAGCGTCGCACGCGGCATCTTCTCGAATTCCTTCTAGAGGTCCAGCATGGCCGTGGCCGCGTGCCCCTCGAGCGCCAAACCCGCTTCAGCCGAAGGGGATTGCGTCCAGACGGCCTGATCTGAACTTCTCCCCGCCGTAGCGTAGTGGTCCTCGTGACGCGACCCCTGAGCCGCACGTCCTGGTCCCGCTCGCGGCACTTGTTATATGCCCTGAAGGCGCTTGTAAGCAATCTCATGTCGCGATGGCTTCCTTCTGGCTTCGGTAACATGGGCATACTTGTGGTAGTCATCTGCGGCGGCAGCTCACCTATGGCTTCCGCAGCCCTCATGATGTCGGCGAAAGCATCCAGGGAGCCATCCGATAGCAGCGCCACTCTCCTGGGCCCCAGGTTGTCCACCCCTGAAGCCGCGCCGCGCATGCAGCCGCAGGCTACCTTCCTGATATGCTTTGCCTCCAGCACCTGCACCCCCCCAGAGGTAACTGTAGACGCAGCCCTGCCCCAAAACTGTCGTCTCAATCGCGTCGTCTCCGCGTCGTTCTCCATTCTTCCAGGTCTGAGTTGAGTTTCGAAGCGTGCGATTGCACCCCTCCAAAATGATGAAAGTCCGCCTGTTGCCAAGACGCAGACAGCTTCGACCATCCACGCGCCCACCTGTCTCACCTCTCGACCGCCTCAAAACACACAATTACTCCACTGCTGTGCCTGAAACTTGACAAACTCCCGCTCGATCCTGGCGGCTTCCATTGCAGCGCTCCAGCTTGCATCTGGAGGCCAGTCGTCTTCCCATGATAACTCAAAACCATATCTGTAGCACCAGATGTCCCACTGCTGTCCCATGTCGGCCTTCCTGTTCTTCAGTTTCTTCATGGTGTTGAACCTGTCCTCAACGAATTTGCAGCCCTGACCCCAGCTCCTTTTCAACGCGTGCGCGAGGTCAACCATGACAACCGAGGCTCGGCGCCAGATGCGTGATGTTGCGTTGCCCTCTGCCCCGTGGCCTGGAGCTTTGCGTGCATTGGCCATTAGCTTGCAACATGGCCATGGTTTACCCCCTCGACCCTGGCACGCTTTGCGTTAACGATCGTCCAGTTGAAAGCAGACGGCCAGCTCTTTCTCAGCAATCCTCTGCCACTCCGCGTAGCACCACAGCAAATCTTCTTCATCGCGTACATGTTCTCATTCTCTGTGTATCCATAGGTAAGATGGTGGTGGCCGAGGTACTCCCATTGGGCACTCTTTCGGGCACTTCTTGGGGATGTTTAGCTGCTGCTCAAGCGCTGCACCAGGGCCGACTCTCAGCTGCAGACGAACTCCCCAACGCGCGGCAATCGAGAGGCCCTCGATCCTCTCGACGTCCGAGACTAGGCCCTTGAAGCGCGTGCTGACGACCGCCAAGACCATGTTGGAGAGCATGGCCAAAGCTCACGGCGACGACAGGGCGGCCCGCAGGCTGCAATGACCTGGAGCTCTGCTGGGACAAGGCCGTGAAGTCCGAGGCAAAAGGCGACCAACAGCAGGCCCCCAGCTACCACGGGATGTCGGCGCTTCAGCTTGAGCAGCGGCTGCAGGACACCAACAAGAAGCTGGACAAGGCGCGCGAGCGGCTTGAGGGTCGGAACCAGGAGCAGGAGCTGCAAGCAGCGACCTAGGCCAGGGATGCCGAGCAGCAGATCGTCGCCAATCAGGAAGAGCGGAGGATACAGATCAAGGAGGCGCAAGCTGCTGTCTTCATGCGGGAAGCCAGCGGGCAACCCTGCTGTGGCGCTGTGCGGCAAGGTTGCCAGCATCCAGAAGAAGATGGGCAGCGAGCGCATCCCAAGCAGCCTTGAGGAAACCCTCTGCATGCTGAAGCAAGCGCTCGAAACCCTCGGGCTCCAGCTTACCGACAAGGCGGAGCAGTCGCAAGGGCGCGAGCATGTGGCGGTGCACGCAGCGGGTTCTGACAGCGATCGTGATGTTGTCGATGATATGCTGGGCCACGCAGACATTCCTGTACCAGATGAAGACGACTACGAGAAAATCTTCCTCCAAGCTGGACTCAAGCGTGACGGGGTCGATGCTGAGGAGGAGCGCGAGCGCATCAAGGCCGCCAAGGTGCGCCTGCTGGAATCCCTCGCTGCTGCCAACGCGGCAGCTGCAGCCGAGCGGAGGAAGGTCCAGCCCCCAGCTCCTGCTCAAGCTGAAGCAGATGGCAAGTAAATCGGCTGTGGATCTGGGACGCGGAGCCTGGGCCATGTGGTGGGACCCGATGCGCGCAGGAGAGGCCACAGCAGCACGGCCAGGCCGCATCGTCGAGGAGACGGGGAGGAGGAGGCGGAGGAGGAGGAGGAGGAGGACGAGAAGTAGGAGGAGGAGGAGGAGGAGGGCGAGGAGGAGGAAGAGGAGAGGAGCCTGGGGTGGGCCACGACGGGCGCCTCTGAGCCATCCGTGGCTCGCCAGGAGAGCCCCTGCAAGGGGCGGCGACCCAGACGGGCTCGGGGGTGGATCGCGCGGCGCGGCTTTTGCTGCCGCTCTCTCGGCCTCGCCGGCGCTCGGCTTCTTGGACCGCCGGCCCCCCTGCAGGGCTCCTCCTCCTCCTCCTCCTCCTCCTCCTCCTCCTCCTCCTCCTCCTCCCCCTCCTCCTCCTCCTTCTCCTCCTCCTCCTCCTCCTCCTCCTCCTCCTCCTCGTTCCGGGGCGCGAAGGCCACCGCGCTGCTGCGCGCGCATCACAGGTCTCTCCGAGTCGATTCGATCTCGATGGTTTCCGATTCCGATTCGATTCGGTTTTCGATTTCGATTTCGATTTTGATGGCTTTCGATTTCGATTTCTCTCCCATTCCGATTCGATTTCGATGGCTTCCGATTCGGCTTGGGATTCCGATTCAGGCTCCGGTTCCTCAAGGGAGGCCTTCTAGCTTGCCGATTACCGCCAATTCGATTTTCCCCGACTCGGCTGCCGATGTCCGCCGATCCGATTCGCTTCGATCGCCAATCGGACTTATGGATTCGATTATGGGCTCTCTTGCCCATGGGGACAAGCTTTCGGGACGTCCGGGGGACCGCCTGTTGAAGAATTCAAGTCGTCGCATGTCCCCAGACCCCCTCGAGTAAAGAAAAAATGTGACGGGAGGTTTTTCGCCACTTCCGGCCTCTGGGGGACTTCGCCGGGCCTCAGGACCGTCAAAAACGGCTCAGGATGAAAAACCCGTGTTGGGGGAGGGCTCCAGATTTCTGGGGGTCGACATCAGCAACAAGTCATGACGTCGGGGGTCTGGGTCTGAGTCGTCGCCCCTCGAGCATCACCCCTCGCTTGCACTGTGCAGTGTGACCTTTTTGGGCATTCTGCCTTCGACGGTGCTCGGTCGCGATTCGCCCTCCTCCTCCTCCTCCTCCTCCTCCTCCTCCTCCTCCTCCTCCTCCTCCTCCTCCTCCTCCTCCTCCTCCTCCTCCTCCCCCCCCTCCGTCTGCTGCCCGCGCTTGAGGACCCTCTGCGCCGCCGGGTTCAAATGTCTGCGCCTTCGTGCCCCCGAGTGCCCAGGAGCGCGGCCAGGCCCTGCTCGGGCAGGCGAAGACGTACGCGGATGATCTGCGCAGCGACCCCCAGCGGTTGCTGTACGCGTGCATCGTCATGGACATGATCGGTTTCTCCAGGTGGCTGTTTTCCTTGTCCCCTGGCGACGGCGGGCTTGACCGGGGAGGGGAGGGGGGAAGGGGGCAGGTCACGTCACGATTCGCCCCGGGGCTCGTCGTTTCCAGGCGGCGCTGGCGCGAATCGTGACGTGACCAGGGAGGGGAGGGGAGGGGTGGCGGGGCCAGCCACGGGCGCTATGGCGAATCAAATGGCGATGGGCTCCAGCTACCTGGTGCTTTTCTTGGGCGAGCTGGTCGACATCTACTGGGCGCCGATCTTCTTCCTGTTCATGCAGTACATGTTCGGCAGCATGCTCATGAGCTCCGTCGGCTGCCTGGAGGAGCTGCTCCCCTTCACGGACATCGTGCCGACCGCCACCATCGCCTGGTGCATCTTCTTCCTCCCCCCCCCCGTCGTTCGCTGCTAGTACCAGAAGGCTGGGTGCCGATGCGGCGCCAAACTTCCAGAGGAAACGCGGGAGGGAGGGAGGGGACACCAAGAACGAGAATAGAAGACGCCATCCCTGCTGGTCACGTGGTTGGGGTCGCAGTTCCCTCAGGAGGTGCTAGACTCGCCCCCCTCCTCGTATTTCCCCTCGTCGGTATTCCTTTCTCTCGGACTCGTTCTCATCCTCCGCTTCGGTGTTCCCTCTTCCAGTTGCACCCCCATCCTGTTCCTTCTCATCCTGTTTCTTTTCCTTCTCTTCCATTTCAACTATACAGTCCACATTATCCTGATGAACGCTCTCCGTGCTTCTCACTATTCCTTCGTCCGTCTCCTCCTCCTCCTCCTCCTCCTCCTCTTTCTCCCGCTCTCGTCCTCGTTCCTGCATTTATCGTTCTTGCTATTCTTATTTCCCAGCGGAGTTGGGTGACAGCCAGCGCCCTCCGCTGACTGACCTTCTCCACTGAGCTGAATTGATTGAACTGATGGGGCACTTTTGACAACACTCTTCAACCCGCCCAGGCGCGCCCGCAATCGCAACCAGGCCACACATTTCAACCCGCCCGCGGGTGCAACCGCAGCTGCAACCAGGCGATACATTTCCACCCGCCCGCGGGCGCAACCGCAGCTGCAACCGCAACCAGGCGACACATTTCAACCCGCCCGCGGGCGCAACCGCAACCGCGACCAGGCGACACATGTCAAACCGCCCGCGGGCGCAACCGCTACCGCAACCCAAATCAGGCGATGCATTTCAACCCGCCCGCGGGCGCAATCGCCCAGGGAGCAGGAGGAAGAGGAGGAGGAGGAGGAGGAGGAGGAGGAGGAGGAGGAGGAGGAGGGAGAGGAAGAGGAGGAAGAGTGGGAGTGGGACGAGGAGGATGGGCAGGACGGCCAGGAGGAGAAAACAGAGGAGGAGGAGAAGGAGGAGGAGGACGACGACGACGATGATGATGAAGAGGGGGATGCAAGGGTGGTCCTGTTTGGGGTTGCAGGGGCAGGTGCCCGTGGAGGAGGAGACCCAATGGCACGATAGAGAGATGAAGGGCTCGGAGCAGGCCGATCAGGAGGAGGAGGAGGAGGAGGAGGAGGAGGAGGAGGAGGCTCTTCCTGGCTACTCTCTTCCGCCCCTGTTCTTCGTGCTCCTAGCGTCCCTCCCTCCCTCCCTCCCTCCCGGGGTACGCACCCCCTCGATGCCTTGGACGTCGGCCGCGCACGCCCCCCGCTCCGCCCGCCTTAGGCGGTGTCGCTGCACATCTTGGAAGACATCTTGGAGCCGTCTTGGAAGACATCGATCAAACAAAGAGGGGAGCTTCGATTGACCTTGCACTTCTAGAGTGCCTAAAGTCGCCTCTTGGAGCGCTCTTGGGCGCCCTTGGGGCCGTCTTGGAGGCCTCTTGGGTCCCTCTTGGAACCCTCTTGGGCAATCTTGGACCTATCCTGAGGCCTCGGAAGGCCGTCGGAAGCGAAAAAGCGAGAAAGCAAAACACATTGACTTTCCTCGGGTTTTGAAAGGATTTTGGCCTCTTGGCGGCCTTCTGGGGAGACTCCGTGGCAACCTGGATCCGTCTTGGAGCGTTCTTGGGGCCTCTTGGAGCATCGTGGGAGCGATCTTGAGGCATTTTGGGCTATCTTGAGCCATTGAAGGTGATCTGGGGCTCTCTGAGGCGCTCTTGGGGCTGTTTTGGGCCGCATTGGACGCTCCAACCCCCCGCGAGGCCCCCCGTCCAAGTCTAGGGGAGGGGGTGACGGGGGAGGGGTAAGCTCCTCCCCGAAGGGGAAGAAGGGGGTTGGAAGAGAAAACTCTCTAGACACTGGACCACCTACGAGGGCTGGTGGGATTTTTTGTTTGAATCGTTCATTCATCTGTTTGTCCGTCTATAATTATATGTTGTGTTCCTTGTTGTTGATGCTGTACTTGTCGTTGTTGGTATTGTTGATAGTGTTGCTGCTGCTATTGTTGGTGGTGGAGGTGGGGGTGTGGATGTTGATGATGATGCTGATGCTGGTGTTGTTGTTGATGTTGTTGTTGTTGTTGTTAGTAGTAGTAGTAGTAGTAGTAGTAGTAGTAGTAGTCGTAGTCGTAGTCGTAGTCGTAGTCGTAGTCGTAGTCGTAGTCGTAGACTACGTCGTAGTCGTAGTCGTAGTAGTAGTAGTAGTAGTAGTAGTAGTAGTAGTAGTAGTAGTAGTAGTAGTAGTAGTAGTAGTAGTAGTAGTAGTAGTAATAGTGTAGTAGTAGTAGTAGTAGTAGTAGTATGAGATAGGAGAAGAGTCTAAGTAGGAGTAGGAGTAGGAGATAGGAGTAGAGTCAAGCTAGCACGCTCGCGCGAGTCAAGCATGGCATGCCCAGTCCCACCCGCCTTCCCACAACATAGAAGCAAAGCTGGCACAACTGGGGGCCGAAGTCACACCGGCCAGCCGGTTTGGTACAGCTGATGCGGCCGCGATGGCGGTTGCCGACGGGAACTGGCGAGCGCGTGTTGAATGCCGCGCACGCATTGCCAGACGAGTCGAGAATGGCCCGGTACACCGCAGGATCCAGAGGTGGCCGGAGGAAGCCCGACGGTCTGACAGGACACCCCAAAGCATTTTTGTGAAAAAGCATTTGGTTTTTGATGTTTTTATGTTGAAATGCTTGCAAACACACGGTGTTCGGTAGGATTCTGACATGAACGCCCGCGTGTGCTCTTTGTGGTATTTTTTTGCAATGGAATTCGCGGTCCTGGGTGCATGTAACAGAGCATCGGGAGGTGCACTGCGCGCGATGACGTGAAATCGCTGGCGTTTGACAGAACTCTTTAAGATTCCTATGGTTTTCCTATGATTTCAGAGCAAGAGAGCCCGGCCGGGAAACCGTGTAGAATTTTGTGAAAAAGCATTGGGTTTTTGATGTTTTTATGTTGAAATGCTTGCAAACACACGGTGTTCGGTAGGATTCTGACATGAACGCGCGCGTGTGCTCTTTGTGTTATTTTTTGCAATGGATTATCGCCGTGGACGACAGGACGTCCATGTCGAGAGGAAAAAATATGAAAAATATTGATTTTGTATTGTTTTTTACAGGTTAGGATGGGACCACCCGGATGCGGCCCCTAATGGCCGGCCTGAGGGGGGAGTAGGAGTATATTCTAATAAGGAATAAGGATAGGAGTAGGAGTCAAGCTAGCAGCTCGAGCGAGTCAAGCATGGCATGCCCAGTCCCACCCGCCCTCCCACAACATAAGAAGCAAAGCTGGCACAACTGGGGGCCGAAGTCACACCGGCCAGCCGGTTTGGTACAGCTGATGCGGCCGCGATGGCGGTTGCCGACGGGAACTTGCGAGCGCGTGATGAATGCCGCGCACGCATTGCCAGACGAGTCGAGAATGGCCTGGTACACCGCAGGAAGCCAGAGGTGGCCGGAGGAAGCCCGACGGTCTGACAGGACACCCCACAGCATTTTTGTGAAAAAAAGCATTGGGTTTTTGATGTTTTTATGTTGAAATGCTTGCAAACACACGGTGTTCGGTAGGATTCTGACATGAACGCGCGAGTGTGCTCTTTGTTGTATTTTTTTGCACAGGATTCGCGGCCTGGGTGCATGACAGAGCATCGCGAGTGCACCGCGCGATGACGTGAAATCGCTGGATTTGACAGAACTCTTAAGATTCCTATTGTTTTCCTATGATTTCAGCAAGAGAGCCCGGGCGGGAAATTTGTACAATTTTTGTGAGAAAA